TTTTTTTTTTTTTTTTTTTTTGTGACGGAGTCTGGAGTCTCGCTCTCGTGCTCGCCCAGGCTGGAATGCAATGGCACAATCTTGGCTCACTGCAACCTCCACCTCCTGGGTTCAGGCAATTCTCCTGCCTCAGCCTCCCAAGTAGCTGGGACTATAGGCACCTGCCACCATCCCCAGCTAATTTTTGTATTTTTAGTAGAGAAGGGGGTTTCACCATGTTGGCCAGGCTGGTCTTGAACTCCTGACCTGGGGTGATCCACCTGCCTCAGCCTCCCAAAGTGCTGGGATTACAGGTGTCAGCCACTGTGCCCAGCCCCTTCTAACATTTTAACATTAAATTGCAATCTGGCACCAAAGGGTTTATTCTAGCCTTTATCCCTTTTGTATTTGTGACTCCCTTCTCTGATGGGAAGAAAGCTGGTACTCAATAGATTTACTGATTGTATTATATATGTGTGTGTGTAAATAATATATGAATATATTTATATTTACACACATATATATATAACAAATATATATCATATATTTACTTATAAATAAATTCTGAAAGTAAAGCTGGGTGAGGTAGCATGTGTCTGGAATCCTAGCACTTTGGGAGGGCGAGGCAGGAGGATCGCTTGAGCCCAGAAGTTTGAGACCAGCCTGGGCTTCTATGCCCAGGCTGACCCTATGTTGACCCTATCTCACAAAAAAAAAAAAAAAAAAAAAAAAAAGAGAGAGAGAGAGAGACAGAGAGTGAGAGAAAGAAAACAAAGAAAAAATATTTTTGGTTCTTTGTCAAACACATCAGAAATCTCATCATTAGTATTTTTTAAACCTAAAAACATCCTGTCAGGAGCCAGTAGGGCTCTAGCACAGTATCTTAAGCTGAAAGTAACTCTTCAGCCTGCCCCAAAGATGCAGAATATGTGAAACAGCCTTGGGTCTTTGGGGTTTCCTGGTGGAGCTCCTGTGTTGTTTATTAAATTATTGTACTGGGTCAGTGCCGGGATGGAAGTGCCACTTTCTTGCTTAAATGTTTCCCTTAATAAATGTTTCCCTTTCACTTCTAGATGAATTATGTTGCCCAGGCTGGTCTCTAATTCGACTCAAGTGATCCTCTCCCCTCGCCCTCCCAAAGTGCTGAAATTACAGGCATAAGCCACCATGCCTGGCAAGTTGTTAGGTCTTTATATATTTTGCTGCTTACTGCTGGCATGATGGACAATGCCAACCCAGTATGAACCAGCCAAGAAAGGGTGAGGTACTACTCCACGGAAGTCGAATTTCAGAGGCAAATAATTGAGATCAGAGTCCAGAGAATGGAGCAAGCCAGAGAGACTGAGGAGTCATCAGGTTGAAAAATCAAGAGATAGTGCAAAGTTTAAACAAATTAAATGGAGCAGTCCTGAAGCTCATTTCCCCGAGTAGACCTGACACCCCATTCTCTCTCGATAGCGTCTTTTAGGGCACAAAAGTTTTCAATTTTGATGAAGTCCAATTTGTCTAAATTTTGGGTGTCATATCCGAGAAATCATTGCTAAATCCAATGTCATGGCAATTTTCCTTTATATTTTCTTGTAAGAGTTTTGTGGTTTGAGTTTTGCACTTTACGTCTTTGATCCATTTTGAGTTAATTTTTGCATATGGTATAAAGCTGGGGTCCAGCTTCATTGTTTTGCATGTAGATATCCCATTTCCCCAGCACCATTGTTGAAAAGACTGTCCTTTGCCCCACTGAATAGTCTTGGCACCTTTGTTGAAAGTCAATGGACCATATGTGTGAGGGTTTTATTTCTGGGCTCCTTATTCTGTTCCATTGGTCTCTACATCAGTCTTCACACTAGTATGACACTGTTTTGATTACTGTAGCTCTGTAATAAATTTTAAACCAGGAAGTAGGAGTTCCTCAATTTTGATCTTTTGGGACATTTATGCAAATCACCCTTCTTTATTGGGCCAAGAGAGCTGAGGTGAGAGGTTGGAGTGGACACCCAAAAAGATCAGGCCAGGTGCGATGGCAAAAACCTGTAATTTCAGAACTTTCAGTGGCCGAGGCAGAAGTATCACTTGAGTTTAGGAGTTTGAGACCAGCCTGGGCAACATAGCAAGATCCTGTCTCTGTAAAAATAAAATAAAATTAGCCAAATGTGGTGGTGCATGCCTGTAGTCCTAGCTACTCAGGAGGCTGAATTGGGAAGATTGCTTGAGCCCAGGAAGTGAAGGATGCAGCGAGCCATGGTTATGCCACTGCACTCCAGCCTGGGTGATGGAGCAAGACTCTGTCTCAAAAAAAAAAAAAAAAAAAAGAAGTCTACATATTTCATTTGGCCTGTGTGTCCCTTGAGCATTTTGTTTTGTCCATAATTTCCCGCTCTGTCCTTTTTTTTCCCCTTGCAATTTGTTTGTTATAGATATCAGATTATTTATCCTGAAAAGCTTCTCACATTCTGGATTTTGTTGATTGTACTTTCCACATGCATCCCAACAGGTTCCTCTGTCCCTTGTACCTGGCTATACTGAGAGTCAGACCTTAGAGACTTATGTATATACTGAACAGGGATATATACTTCCATCACAATACACATCATTTCTGGTTGTCTCTTTTTTTGTCGTGTTGGTAGCCATGGATACTCATCGCCTACATCCATTACATCAGACAAATTTTTCCTGTAAAGGGCAAAGCAGGAAATATTTTAGTCTTTGCAGGACATATGGTCTCTGTCACAGCTACTCAACTCTGCCATTGTAGCATAAATATAGTAATAGACCATGTGCAAGAAATAAGTATGACTATGTTCCAATAAAACTTTATTTACAAAAACAGGCAGCAGGCTGGCTTGAGCCTGTGGGCTGTGGTTGGTGGATCCTTGTTTTACCCTAATACATACAGGAGTTTTAGAAAAAAATGGCAATATTAAAGCAAGCAATATGGTTCCTGAAAACCGTTTGACTTTTGTCTGTATTTTCATCTCTCTGATATACTTTAAGAAGAATATTCAGACAAACTCCTGCATTAAACTCACGTGAAGTAACTTCTTTGTCTGTAGTAATGCCACCAACTCAATACATACATATTTCTTTCATTTTGCTTTTTAGATTTTAGGTATTTTTCACTTCATTTTATTCTATGATTTTGAGAAAAATTTCAATGGCTCCAAAATTGAATATACAAAATAAGGTATACTTGGAGAAATCTAACTTTTGGTCCCTGTTCCTCTATATTACCTGTTCTTCTTTTTTCTTTTCCTTTTTTTTTAAGTTAGGGTGTCACTCTGTCACCCAGGATAGAGCGCAGTCATGGCTCAGTGCAGCCTGGACCTCCAGGGCTCAAGCACTGCTCCTACCTGAGTAGCTGGAACTACAGGCATGCATCACCATGCCCAGCTACATTTTAAAATTTTTTGTAGAGTTAGGGTCTCACCACGTTGTGCAGGTGGGTCTCAAACTCCTGGACTCAAGTTATCCTCCCCTCTCGACCTTCTGAATAGCTGGAGTTATGGGCATGAGCCACCATGCCCAGCTCATATTCCCTGTTTTTGATCAGTTCACATGGGAATCCTACTTATAGGTAACTGTTTTTCATTTTATGATTTAATCCTTCCATTTTATTTTATTATTATTATTTTTTGAGATGCAGTCTCACTCTGTCGCCCAGGCTGGAGTGCAGTGGCACGATCTCAGCTCACTGAAAGCTCCACTTCCTGGGTTGGACTGATTTTCCTGCCTCAGCCTCCCAAGTAGCTGGGACTACAGGTGTGCACCATCATGCCCAGCTAATTTTTGTATTTTTAGTAGAGAAGGGGTTTCACCATGTTGGCCAGGCTGGTCTCGAACTCCTGACCTCAGGTGATCCAACCTCCTTGGCCTCCCAAAGTGGTGAGATTACAGGCCTGAGCCACCACACCCAGCCATAATCCTTCCATTCTAAAAAGTAAAAGTGATGGCCTATGTACAATATATAGAGGCAGAGATCTTAATACCTCCTTCCTGAAATGAATGGCAGCACACACTACATACCATCTCATCCACCTTTCTTTCTTCATGAAACAGTATATCCCGGACATCCTTCCACAGTTGAATATAGAAACATCCTGCCTTCCTTTTGCAGCTCATAGTACTGCATTGTGTTGTGGAGATACCAAAGTTGATTCAACCAGTTCTCTATTGATAGACATTTGGCTTGTTTCCAGTTAAGGGAAGACAATCTTTTAAATCACAAGAACAACAAAGTCAAACAGACAAATAGCTATGCAAATCACCCGAGTTTTAAAATGGTACTTTGTAATTTTCCTACTGCTTTCCAATTTACAGAAGAAGAAAGAGAAACGAAATGACCCCAGATTTCAGCCGACAGTCACATGATAAGAAAAATAAATTGCAGGACAGAACTAGGCTAAGAAAAGCACAATCAATGGTAAGTACTGCTTATAAAAGATTCGTCACCATAGCATTAATGAGAATCTCCAGATCTCTAATCCTGTTTGCAAAATTGAATTTGCTTATTTAATCAGAATCATCAAGTGGTGGTTTAAATTCGAGTTTCTGACACTGACTGACAGAGAAGCCATGACCTTGAAGACACCCTTTATTTAATATCTCTGAGCCTCTGCTTTCTCATCTGTTTAAAAAAAAAAAAAAAGTCTTAGATGAACTGATGTGTATGAAATTGCTTTAAAAACTATATGATATGAGGGGAATATTTTCTATCAGTTGTTCTTTCTTCTGCTGAGTCCTTTGGGACAGAGAGAGGTGCTATCAGGAATTGCTTTTTTTTTTTTTT